TCCTGAGCATAACATGTTCTTTCAAATACATCCGAGACCAGTTGACTTTTCATTGACTGTGTATAAAGATAGAAATAGTTATATCATTAAACCATACGATGACGAAGGTAAGTTATGTAAATTGTACGTTAAGAAGTTAGAGAAAGTTTATGGCTTCAAGTATGACTACAATAGGGTTAACACTGATGATGAAGATATTGAGGAAAATTTATGAGAACATTAGTGAAGTCGTTAGTGAGAACGATAGTGAGAACGTTTATTTTTTACATTAGTGAGTTCGTTAGTGAAGTGAAGTGGTTGGCGGCTTTGTAAATATTTAAGGTTAAGTTAGTGTTGTCGTTTGTGTTGTAAAATACACGTTAACGGTTTTGTAAAGTGTCAAATTCACAAGTATTGGGTAAAGTGGAACGCAGTGCCACCATACCCAAGACTTGTATACTAACTCCATTTTCATGAGTCTTTACAAGCTCCATGCAAAATTGGCAGTTAGGACAACGAAACTTTTTTCCTTGCTCAAAATTTAATGGATAAAAAGAATTATATGAATCTTTTGCAATAAATATAGCAGCTTCTGTAGGATCTGTAAATTTTAATTTGCTATATCTTTCCTTGAGAATTGGAATTGGGGGATTTTCAGGTATTTCCATTCTATATTTCAATTTTTTACGGGAATTCAATTCATTTTGAATTAAATCCAGCATATCAGCTCCATCTCCTTTTTCTTCATCAACAATAGCTTGGATGGATACTGATATAGTTTGATTCTCTTCCACTATTGTCGGTTCGCTTTCCGACATGAGATAAAATTGAAGGTTTAACGTACTTTTGATACTCTGAGTTAAAAAAAGATTTTCTTAACATAATTTGATTTATTGGTCCTTAAAAAATTCTGATTCAAAATTGAATTGAATCGAACGAGTTTTCCTTTTGAGTCATTTCAAATATTCATGAGAAAGAAAAAAATTCTAGCAATTTCAAATATTTTTGATTTGATTGAATTCAAAAGTGTCACAAATATTCAATGAGAAAGAGAAAAGAGATCGAATATGTTGTTTCTGAGCGAATAGTCAAGCAATATTTCGTTAAGTACAAAGATCAGCATCCGGAAAAAAATAAATGGGTATATCAAAATGAGATTCCGCAAGAAATATTTGAAAAATATCTAGAAACGAAGAAAACAGAAAATATTGATGAAATGTTACGCTGTACTCGAATTGTTCATGTTGTTGATCAAGATAAAAAAGAATTTTATCTTGAATTTTCAAAAAAAAATCAAATTCATCACATATTAAACAAGAATCTAGATGAAGAACATCAAAAGGCTTATATAGATTATCTTGAAAGTTTACTCAAACTTGAAATAAAAAATAAAAATTAAATTAACCCTCGTTAGGATATCGTTGCAAATAAAGATCTGTTTCTCAGAAAGATCCTGATTTTCTGATAAATATTCTGTTGTAACTTCTACAAGGTTTAAGATATGAAAAACATTTTTGAATATTTCATCGCTATCAAATCTGCGGAAACATCTGGAATATAATTTCAAATATTTGAATTCTCAATTGCATAATTAATTAAAAATTCATGTGAATTTAAAAAATCGGTAGATGAAATTTGCATGGGTATAAGAGGAAGTACACAATAATACCCCTGAACTACAGGAAAAGCTTAAATCCTTAGGGATATCCAAAATAAATCTTAATAAAGAAGATTCGTCTTGAAAATTAGCTTCCGAAAGTTCTATTTCAGTCGGAGCTGGAAGATTCCGATCATTTATGAATCTCGAAACGACAGAAAATTTGTATTGTTTATATTTCATTATTCGAAATGATAAACTTCAAAATCTAAAATTTATTTTTTTACAATATATTTCATCCTATTGTCAAGGCTAAATTTTTCACCGGAAGTGTATCAAAAATTGATAAGATTTACGGTGATCTAATTATGACAATTCAATGCATCTCGTGATATAACGCAGATATAAACACAACTGATATTGCATAACTAATAATTGAGTCAAATAACTAAATTCTGTGTTATATTTTACACATATTTCTTCAATTTTGTAATAAATGGATGTTTAACACTAATTTTTAAAGGACTTCGACTTTAGCATCACATAAATATGTTATTTTCTATATTAAAACGTAATTTTGGTGGTCTTAGAATAGAAAAATATGCAATATTCGTGGAGATAATGAGGGTTCTTAAACATGTTCTTAAAAATAAATAAAATAATACAAATCTTTATTCAATCTTTTGATATTGTTGGTCCTCTCTTTGTGAAAATACTTAACTTCAAAGAGTATTATGTTTTACCTAGTGAGGACCTTAAGTTTGCAAAAACATAATAAAAGTAAAATAAAAAAGATCGGATTTATCACAAAACTTTGAGTATTATAGGATTTAATATATTTTCTTAGTAGATTATATGATTTAGTTTCTTAAAATCTAAAGTATTTCTTGAGGAAAATATAAATTGAAATTCAAAAAGTAAAAAAAATGTAAACAAATCAAATTTTAAATGGATCAAATGTTGATTTTTCATTCGTTTTCTCATTATCGAAAAAAATTTGGAAAGCTAAGAAGTCAATAACAAGTTATATAATACAACAAAACCCACATCGGATATGTTTTCATCAAATAGTCTCCTAGATTTGTTATGAAATTAAAATATCATGATATTTTAAGGGCTTTTGATTTCAATATTAGAATTATTCAGTTATGTCGTGCTAATATCAATTGTTTTATACAATTAATCGTTTACAAGCTGCAAAAATCGAACAATAATTTGACTTTGTAAAAAAGTGCGTCATTTTTATTCGTTATACTTACAAAATGTAAACATTACGAGAAACATTTACCTTTGTAAATGTAACAAGTAAATACATCAGATTTAAATTGTAAATGTAGTTTATCTCTCTCATCTCCTTTTTAAAAGGTATTACATACATACGAACGCATGGGTCACTCAATAATTAGCGTGATAATAATTGAGGATAGACTGTAATCGTAATTTTATTTTTGGACTTATATTTCGACATTTTGAAGTCGCTTGAAAGTCTTGCAAATAATTAAATTTGGAAAATTTGACCTAAGTCTGCATTATTTTGATGACTTAAACAATTCTATAAATCTGTTTTCCTAAAAATTTAAAAAGATATAATTTCAATTTCCCTAAATTTATGTAATTCATATATCACCAAAATATTTGGACTGCATTTCGTTTGTCTGCACCTAATTAAAGTCTAAATACCAATTAATTTTGGAGTTGCATTGCTTTTAATGTAAAAATGCACGTTTAGAAAAAGACGATAACGATTAAATTACAAAATCGATAACGACGACGATTAAATTACAAAATCGATAACCTCTTTATCAACTCTGTTTTCTCCACGACGGCCTATTTTTGTTTCTGTCTGATTAAGTATGATGCAATTTGGGCAGTTTTTATCTGGCTTTGTAGATATTCGAATCAAAAATGCTATCTGGTTCTTTAAACTCGACATAATATGATTAAAATACTTTTCTTCTCAAAATGAAAATTTTAAAAGAATTTGTTAAATTCTTAATCTAGAATATGTATTTGAAGCAATTAATTTAAGTTTTCTATTTGAATAGTTTTTATTTATTTTTTTTATTTGAACGTATGATCAAGCATACATAAAGCATGAGATAATATAATTATATCACATTGAAATTATTGAATATTCTAGATGTCTTTTGAATGCCTTTACAATTAATTGGTTGAATTATAGAATTTATTGAATGATTATTCAAAAATTGTATGTGCAAAAGAATATTTTCATCTCTCTCAGAAAACTTCAATAGTTATTTGTTCCATCTCCGTCCAATAAATTAATGGCTGAAGCTTCTAATAACTATTTAGTGATATAATTTTTAGAATTATAGCGTTGATTTCTAAATCATGTTTTTCTCCATCGTTCTGGCAATAAATAATTAATTCATTTGCATTATTATGTAGTTATTTTTCCATTCGCTGAGTTTCAGAAGGCTGTTATATCATGGGATTCGAAATGAATTTCGAAACATAATAGAATCACTCAATTTATAAAGAAATAATCACATAATCAGCTAATTAACATACCTTATAAGGAAATTTAGGGGAGTCGCGCTGCAATTGTCATGCAGGGAAAATTTTGAGTGGTCTTGATTGACAAAACGATTAAAAATGTCAAAAATTGATTGATATATCTTTCCAGGGCTACTGGTACAAATTCAATGGCGCTTATCATTGATAAAAACGTTTGTTGTTGAATCAAGTTTGTAACTATCCTTAATTTTACTGCAATATACTCACATTTCACAATATTTCAAATTTAATTCAGTGATATCTATATTTAATATAGAGTTCAATTCAAAAGTAGTTCAGTCTGTGTAGATGGGTGTGTAATGATAGAAAAGGCATAGTATAAATATTTATATTAACATTTGAGCCTCTATGACTTATATTTATATGCGTTCAATCTCCCTATGTATTTTATTAAAAAGCCTTCAATGTGTCATTGCAACAGAACATAGCCATCTATACTTTCTCAATGCATATTGATTCGGATGAATTTTCTTCGGGCTGATTATATTTTGAATTTCAGTAAATGTCGTTAAAAGCCATTCACAGTAATAAGATAGCTTCAAAAATGATTAAAGCAATGAATTATGTTTTCAGAAGCATATATTAAAAAATTATTGTTTTTTTATGATAGAAGACTGATCTACTTCTTGTACTGAATCATCTCGTGTAGATATATAAGTGAATTCATTAGATAATTCGTGGGGAAAATATAACTCAAGATTGTATTAGTCTATTTTCTCCAAACTCAAACATCTACATATATACGCTATGTATAATCTCTAGCCAGAGTTTCATGCCAAAATTTTGGTTGGAATGAAGTGATTGTACTTTTATATTGTTAAAATCTTGTGTCAATTTTTTTGTCTCAAAAAATTTGTAATGTTTACATTATCATTTATTTGTTTTTATGTCTTCTCACTGTGCAGAAACATCCCCCAACAACAATTCTGTTCCAGAAAGCCAAAGTAATACAACCAGATCTGATGCACAAGCTCAAAATTCAAATATTTTTATCGAAAATAGAGTTATTGAATCTGCAGAGTTTATCTCTCAAAATTCAAAGCATGTTAAGCTCGGAACAGATGATGAATATAAGAAAGCGGCCGTGATTGTTGAAGATCTTGCCAAGAAATGGCGTGCAGAATCATGGTCAGATTTTCCATTACATCCTTCCGAACTATCAGATCCAGAAAAGAAGGCCGCTTACGTTTTCCTTATAGATACAATGAACTATGCATTCTGGACTGAAACAGGACACAAGCCATACACAGTAAGTTACAATGGGAAGCCATATACCGGCTATTGGTCACTTTGCGCAGCAATTAAGAATGCAGTGCTCAAGGATGAAAAGATCTTAGATGCTGAATTCTGGGCTAAAGCAACAGTTGAAGATTGGGGCAAAATTTTTACTTCAGAAACCGAAACACCGTGCCCATTTTTAGAATGGAGACAAAAGACCATCTCAGAAGCAGGCAGATATCTTATTAATAACTTCGAAGGCAGCACATACAAAATGATAAAATCCTGCAACAAATCTGCTGTTGCATTAGCAGAATTAGTTCGTGCAAACCTTGACTCATACAAAGACCAATACGAATACCATGGTAGAACAGTCTACTTCCTGAAGAGAGCCCAAATTTTTGCTGCAGATCTCTATTTTGCCTTTGCTGCTGACAATAACTATGTTGCAGAGGCTTGCTCGTTTACAGATATCAACAAACTAACAATGTTTGCTGACTACAGAGTTCCACAAGCTTTGAATTACCTTAATTTGATTCATTACGATGACTACCTTATGAATGAGCTCAAAGAAAGACCACACTTCCCACCAGGATCAGAATTAGAGTGCGAAATTCGTGGATGTTCTATAGCAGCTGTTGAAAAATTAAAGAAATTTATTTCTTATCCAAAAATTACATCAGTTCTTATTGATTTTGTCCTTTGGCCGTATGCAAAGGAGAATACCGAACTAATGGCTCATATCCCAATTCATCAAACAAGAAGTGTTTTCTATTAAAATTAATAAAAATTTTTTATAAACAGTACTTTAACTATTGTTATCACAATCTCATTATAAGATCTAACAATTTTTCCCCAATTCGAAAAATATCTTTAATTAATTGGGCAAAGATAAGATCTAACGATCATTACATTTAATTCAAAAAGTGTTTCTTCAAAATGATATCAGAAAACAGCTTAATCAACTATTCTATATCTTTGGAACTTAGGGGTCTATTTTCTCTTGATGGAATAAATAACGTAGCACATTTTTCTGGGTCCAGTCTACAATATAAAACCGATTGTAAATTTTGTAGACTATTCAAAATTCCCCAAAAATTCATCATTTGCAATATTTCAAATATAAGTGTTCCTATGGACAACTATTTTAAATAATACGCAGGACCCTCAAGAAAATGTGGGACCCAAAAAAATGTGCAACGTTATTTCTATGCATAAGCATGGCTATACAATATTCATATCATTATCTATCTATCGTTTCATATATCAAAAAGAAGAGATTGCTAAATAGAATTTTCACACAGAACCGGCTGATCAAGATTTTTCAAAATGACTGAGAGTTCAAAAATGAATTTCCACGAGTTAATGTCATTATACAAAGAATTCAATGACACATTCGACGAATTGTATAGACTAAGAACCAACAATGAAGAAATGCTAGACAAAATATGTAATGATATCAAAATTCATTTAATAAATACAAAATATCTCCGGCCATCCGATATACTAATTATATTGGAATACCTATCGAGATTCAATAATCGTTATCTAAAGTCATATTGGTACATATTCAAAAAGATTTATGAAGAATATCGTCCGGATCATATTAATAACTTCTTATTTGGATTTGACTATTTTGTTTATAAAGAATATGGCATTTGGTAAGATGAAGCGAATAAACAATTTTTAGAAAAAGCTGAATCCAAAAACTTTACAATGAGAGCTGTTAAACCAGATACCATTTTCGAATCAATAATGAACGATGACATAGTGGCATTTACATCATTCACAGAAAGAGAAGATTTTGATAAAAATGATGTTCTTGTTTCTCCTTTCATAATTAAGGGAATACGATACTCATTACTTGAAGTTTGTTGTTATTATGGTGCGACAAAATGTTTTTCTTTCTTAAGAGAAAAATTTGATTCAGAAATAACAAAAAGATGCCTCCTATTTTCAATTCTTAGTGGAAATCATAGTCTTGTAAAAGAATGTCTAAAAGTTGTTGAACCAGATGATGAATGCATGCGGTATGCAATATTATCACATAATATTGCTTTTGTTACATTTTTGATGATAGAATACAAATTAACCATAAATTTATTTTATTGTGGTTGTTATCATAATCTTCAAGCATTCTTTGTTTATTTGGATCAAACAAATGATATCAAGGAATGCTTTCTTTATTCACCATTTTTCAATATTCCATCCCTTTGCCAATATTTCCTTGATCATGGTGCAAGTATTAATGATAGAGACAATGCACTTAATAAAACAGCTCTTCATGTTGCGGCCTGTGTAAATGCAGTAGAAACAGCAAAATTCCTTATTGCAAATGGTGCGATTGTCAATATAAAAGATAATAATGGAATGACGCCTCTACAATTTGCAGCAAGGCATAATTCTAAAGAAATGATTGAGCTTTTGATAGCGAACGGAGCAATCATATCTGATCGAAATAATGAAAATAAATCTGCTCTTTATTTGTCAACAGAGAATGATGCTGGCGATGCTGCAGAAGCCCTTATATTACATGGCGCAAATGTTAATGATTCATATAATTATGGAGAAACGGTTCTTCATGTTGCAGCAGATTTAAATAAATGGAATATAGTATCTGTTTTGGTTTCTCATGGTGCAATCATTAACGCTAAAGAGTATAAAAATGAATCAACTGCACTTCATAAAGCTGCAATGAAAGGTAATACTTATATTGTGAAAATTCTTCTTTCACATGGTGCTGATGTTAATTCAAAAGATTCTTATCGGAAAACAGCACTTGATTATGCAAAAGAAAACGGCAATGAGAAAATTGAAAAACTTTTAATATCGCACGGCGCAATCCCCAATTCAATGGATAATTAAAATTTTTCAAATAATGATTATTTCTATAATAAACAATATTTATTCTAAAAAATTAATTTAACATTATTTTTTCATGTAATTGCGCGTCAATATTGAAAATGATTAGGAAATGGACAAACAGCTCTAATACTACAAAGATAAATTGCAAACTTCAACATTGTATTAAATTTCATATATTATGCATTAAATTTTAAACTCACCAGCAGCTCTAATGACATCAGTATATAGTGATTTTAACAAAAAAGCATAACAACCATAGAAGGAACTATATAATGTTTTATAATAGCTTTTTAATGAGCAAAAATATGAACTCTTCACCTTAGAATTTTTGACATAAAGATAGGATAGTCAAAAAATTGAGAGAATGTCAGATAGTGCGACCTTAAGCTTTTACTTTGAATTTGCCAATGAATGCAATTAAAAACTCTAATTTTCATTATGGCTAAGCTTCAAATTGCTATATAATGGCGAGTATTATATACCTTTACATTCAAAAGTAAGTAGAATATTAGTTAAAAAATCATACAAAATTTTAATGAAAGTTTTTAAGAGTGCGCTTACGCCCCTATGACATGGCTTTCAATTCATATGTTTAAGGTTAATTTTCAATGACGCTTCACGCCAGTTGTCAAAAATTTGAATCAAAGTCAGAAGGGCGTAAGTGCAGCCAAAATCATTTCAAGTTCGATGATGAAATTTATCCTGTCAAGTATCATTGCAATTTGAAGTAATCGGAATTCCAATATATATAGAGTATATATTTAACATCCATATTTGTATTGGATCATTCTAGATTGCAAAAAAAGTTAAAAAAGACGATCAAATTTCTTTCAATTTTCCACTTTTTTATTTTTATTTTTATTTTTTTATTTTTTTTTTGCATTGATTCGGCATGTGTTTTTCTATTGCAGGCTTTTAATTCTGGGGCTCCTGCGCTTCGCTTGGAGCCCCAGAATGAAAACCCTGCCTTTTTAAAGCCAATAAACTAACTTTTATCATTAAGGGTGGTAATATTAAAGCACTTTTATATTGATATTTGTTGATATAATTTTTAATATTAAAAAAAATTATTTTGGAAAAAAGTGGAAAATTGAGAGAATTTTGATCATCTTTTTTAATTTTTTTTCCACTCTAAAATAACCCTTTGTATTAGCCCCCCAAAAAAAAGTTATAAAAATATTCTTTATTATGCTCTATTCAATGTTTGTGCTAAACAAAGTGCGTGAGGTTGGTCATCCTCAAGGAATTTGATAACCTCATTCTGTGCAACAAGGAGTTCTTTAAGGACATTTCTAATATCCTTTGAATCCGATGTTGTGTAGCTGTGTTCCTTCAAGAAAACCGCGAGAATTCCTTGTATTGCCTCGAAATCTTTGCGGCTCTTCACACCCCACAACAACATCTTTGCGAACAAAAGTCTTTCATCGACACCTTCGCCAATTCCAAGTGCCGCAACTTCTGTCTGTATAGAATCATTGTCCATTGAGATGATCTCTTTAATGGACTCTTCGTAATCTCCCTTCTTTTCGTCTTCGCAGAGTTTTCTGACAAAATTAGTTTGTGGTCTGTCAGAAAGAATTTCATCGAATTCTTTTTCGTCCATTTCTTCGTTCTGGTTGTTATATTTAGCATCTTCAAGCGCAGAAAGGAAGAAAGGAAGTTGCTTGGCAACTTTGGCGCGTCTTAATGGATCGCGAGGAGGATTTACTAATTTCTTCATCTTATCTAAAGGAAGATCACTGTATCTAGCAAAATTGGAGTGATCAGCAGCAACAGCAGCTGAAACACCTTCAGCTCTTGTGATCTTTTGAGGGCAGAATCTCCATAATCTTGTTGCAACTTTTCCAACATGAAGAGTTGCAATTAATTCGCCATTTGGATGGACGGCGAATGATTGGACAGGAGAATCTGATCTGGCGGTCTGTATTAACGTGGCTGTGATGATATCAAATAAATGAACGTCGTTTGAAGGAGTTCCAACAAATAAAAAGCGGCCATCGTGTGAGAATATCATTGTCTTCGCATCGGCATTGCTGAATTTTCTTGCGATTTTTCGTGTCGATGTATCGATAATCGTAATGTCACTTTTTCCATGACCTACTGCAATTAATTCTCCATTTGGATGGGACGCGTATGATTTGATGGGACCGGATAGGTTCATTTCACCAATATATGAGCGGCTGTCGAAAGTATGGAAAAGAACTAAGCCATCTTCGCTTCCGCTGACGATTCTTGTATTTACAGGGTCAACGTGAGTGAAAACAACTGGTGCTTCGTGTGGACGGTCTGTAGCTCCTTTCCTTCTTGCACTCTGCGTTATGAAAACTTCAACGTTTCCTTGTTTTCCGCCTACAATTGCGAAATTACCACAACGAGTCAAGAAGACACAAGTAGCCTTATTAGGTGCTGTGAGCTTGTTGAACGCAATTCCTTGGTCGTTGTCGATATTTACACCATGTTCTGGCATCGCGGTTAAGCATCTACCGGAAAAGCGCTTGTTTTCGGCATCCCAGAGCATGACAAGGCTAGAACCTTCATGTACGGTGGCAGCCGAGCAGAATCTGTGTGAATTTGTAGTTGCCATGGCCGAAATCGGGAATTTGAGCTGGTTCACATTAAGTTGGGATGTAGAAAGGATCTGGGCTGATGTCTCGAGGAATGGGTTCATACTGATGACGCGGCCGTTTCCTGAGGCTGTAATCAATTGAACTGTTCCTGCAACGTCAGCAAAAGCTGCTGCTGTAGGTGGAACGCTATGGCCTAATCGAGCACGGAATAATCTTACGAAATCGGCGCAATCTGGATCTAAAATCCACTGTCTGATCGCATTATCTGATCCTCCTGTGATAAGAAGGTTTGTTCCTGGTAAGAAATGAACTGATGTGATTGAACCATCGTGTGCGTGTGCTAATTTTGCTAAAATTTGATGGTCATTCAAATTCCAGACAATAAGATCGCCATTTGCAAGACCTACAGCAATATGAGCAAGGCCATCGGTACGGAATGAATATCCGCACACGAGATCTGTATGCTGGAATGCGAATAACTCTTTATTGTAAACAAAGTTGTGGAAAATAAGTCTTCCATCCATTGTTGCATATCCGAGTGTGTCTTTATCAGGTGATTGAATGATTTTAATGATTGGTGAGTCAAAACCTTCGAAATGGAAGATTAATTGTTGACGATTTACGTTCCACAAATCAAATGAGCCATCATCATATGCAGCAATGACTTTGTTGAGGGCTGCTTTTGGATGGCAGATGGCAGTAATGTGCTTTTCGCAATCGATTGTGAAAATTTCATCGAGACTTATTGGTTTATATGCTGTAAGCTCATTTCCTGATGCAGCCAATAGAATTCCTTGGCATGCTTCGAGAACTTCGATTGGTTCGTCTAGCTCTATTTCTTGATATTCGTTTGTTGAACGAATTGTTGATCGTAAGAAGTGTTCTGTTGATGTAAATATGCGTGAAGAATCAGCTGCAATATGTGTGATCTTTTCCTGATGATTTATTCCTTCAAAGTTAAGCTTAAGCTCTTTTGCGGAATATACATGAAAATTTCTCTCAACAGCAACGGAAAGAAAAGTATAATCACCAGCAGTATTCATGGTGAATGGAATTTCATTACATATCTGGCCAATATCTTTAGCGTAGTCAAAGCAATCAAACATTTGTTTCTACGCTATGATTTTAGGACGGTTTTTGTAAAATCGCTCCAAAAGGACAAAATTTTCAACAAATAAATGATTGATTTCACAATGGAAACAAAACTATTATGAGCCATATATCATCAATATTATATTGTTTTGATGATATTGAATGATTCGAATCAAATTTTGAAAACGATATGCTTTATTTAAGAGTTTAATAATGTAAAGATCAATTGTAGATAAATTAGAATGTATTTTTGAATGAAATCTTGAAATTATTTGATCATTGTGATTACACAAATTTGAAATCTGAGAAGTAGCGAACATTAGTTTTAAAAAACGTAATTCCACATAAAAGCAAAGCGATATTTATTATCAATAGCAAAAAATATTTTCGATTATAAATTTGCCAAAAAAAGTCAAAATAAAATGATAATTAAAAACTCTAAAGTTTTGTTTACTGGAGGGCAGCATGAAGCTTCTTGTGAACGACATCGATTGGCTGGCCATCGACTGGGAATGTCTGGAGAATGCCCTTCTTGGAGTAGTAGTCAATGCATGGCTGGAATGTGCCGAAGTACTGGTTCATACGCTGGTTGAAAACCTCTGGTGTATCATCCTTACGGATAATGAGTGGTTCGCCAGTGATATCATCTGTCATTGGCTTCTTTGGTGGATTTGTGACCTTGTGGTAAACACGGCCAGAACCTGGGTGGAAGAGACGGCCGCAGACGCGCTCACGGAGTTCATCGATGTTGACGGAAAGGTAGAGAACATGTGTGAGTGGTGTTCCCATCTTAGCGAGGAGAGCATCGAGCTTCTCAACTTGGCCGATTGTACGTGGGATACCATCGAAGATGTAACCGTTGTTGTCGGTGTTCTTCTGCATGCATGCCTGAAGGATATCCATGATTGTATCATCATCGACAAGGCCGCCAGACTCAATGATGCCCTTTACACGCTTGCCAAGTTGTGTTTGGCCGCGGATTTCGGCACGGAGAGCATCACCTGTGGAAATCTGGTAGAGGTTGAACTCCTTTTCAAGGAGTTTGGCCTGTGTGCCCTTGCCGACACCCGGTGGGCCGAAGAAAACGACCATACGATCCTTCTTGCCGGAGGCAAAACGCTTAGCTAATGTACTGAGCATTTGAGGTCAATGGCTCTCAATTTTTTCAGAACCGTTCTACCGCTTCTTTTCCGATCGATAAACACTTTTGAAAAGTGGCCAAGCAAAATCAAAAATCACTTCATTCTATAAGTAAATATTAATCAGATTACAATTATTAATAACCTTGCCAATCGGAACCGAATTTCTTCTCAATTTCAAAGAGATTAAAAATGAATATTAAGGGTGCACCCGTATGTACGTTTATTTGAGAGGAGGAGGATTACCCTCTCAATTTTGAGGGATTCGTTAGTTTATTTTCTCGATGAATATGCAATAAAATTTGATTTTTACCTTATCAATATACTTCATATAATATACACATGTTCATGTAAAAACTTTTTTCCAAAATCCTCAGGAATTAAGGGATTTTTGAATTTTAAGAATTTTTTTCGAATTTTTTCGAAAAAAAAATATTTTCAGAACAGCCTTAACGGCTAAGATTTAGGAACAATGTTAAGTATCAAAAAGAAAGGAGGTCTGATATAGACAACATATATCGTTGAAGGTTGAAAAAATCTCTAATATTTGAGCCCAAAATTTCAAATTTTAATTTTTTGAAAAAAGAGGCCACCCGTATGTACGTTTATTTGAGAGGAGGAGGATTATATTTTTGAAAGGGTGAAACATTATGAATATGTTAATTATATAATAATATGTATTATTATAAAAAAGAAAAAATAAACCACGTTAAAATTTTTCTTTCTTGATTTTTTACAAAATCTACTTAGAATTATGCAAAATATGACTAAATAATTATAAATTTCAAGTTAAATTTTAATTTTGATAAATAATTTAAATTTCAAAATATCAAGTTCAGTTCGACTATATATATAGTAATTCCTCAATAAAGTGCCAAAACCCTATTAAAATATATGAACATTTTCAACATTTTAATGTTTTTATTTAAAAATTTGATGGAATATGAGCTTCAAACAATTATTATGTAAATAAAAATAATTAAATATATGTATTTATTCGTATTACAACCGTAGTAAGTCGATTCTTCCTTTCTTCTACTGAGGTTTGAATTTGATTTCGAATTGTAAAGAGATTCAAAGGGAAAATACTAGCGGATAAAAACTACCTCCATGAAAGGGTCAGAATGGAGTCAAGTTGTATTTTTTGATATTTTTTGCTTTTCGAGCCTAAATAGGTAGCCAAGATAATGCCTAAAAATAAGGTTCTAAATTCTGAAGTTTACATGATCCTCTCGTGTGCACCCTTAAATAAAGTCCGTTTTTTTGGGCAGAACAACTCATAATACCTGGATAAGAATATCTTGAAAAGTTGTGGGTGTTTTATAATAACCGAAAATTCCCTCTTTATTAGATTCCATATCCGATAATGCTGTCGCTCATATATCTCATATTGTAGAGAGATACTGATATCGCCCGTACTATTTTTTAAAAAGAATTTTCAATGAGTAAGAGATCCAAGACAATAAGTGAAAAATACAGCTTCTTTAGTTGCAAACATATCGAAATTGGTATGTACAGGCTCAGTATTATATATGATATTACGTTGTTTGATCGTTAGCGTTGATGGCTATGCAAATTAATTGAAATTTTACCGATAGATACAATCGGAAGTCTTTATTCATTAAAAATCGAATACATATTAGGAAAACATGTATATCCTACAGAAAATAAATCAAGACGATACTAAATTAAATAATTTTCTGAAATTTTCTCTTTGATTCCTTTGTAAGCAAGCCGAATCAAAATGTGTGTACTATTCCTAGATCTTTATCTATTCCGTAATAGAGTTTCGGATTTTAAGAGTTCGAGAAAACGATATTGAACTATCCAAAAGATATGTCTTTTGAATGAACGTCCAATAAATATACTCTTAGTGATGTATAGTATTCATGTACCTCGTCCGATATTTTCTCTAATTCTTTTTTATTTATTGAAGGTACCCATGCTACGAAAAATTTGAGCTTTTGGGTTGCCCTTTTGTGTTTTGAGTTGGAAAATATCATGAACATCTCATAAACTGCTTTCAGAACATGATCTTTTGTTTGCAATATGAGTTCAACATCATGAACAACTTCTACTTGCCATTGAAACTCAACAAATAGCTCAGCGGTTCTTGTATTTTCGATGCATGGTGCCAAAGATTCTTTTATAGAATTTAAATTTGGTTTTCCTTCAAGAACATTAGATATAGAAAGCATTGATTCAACAGCACCTAATATATCAAAAGAAATATCTCCATTGTATAATCTCAGAATATAACAGTATGAATATAATATATCAACAAGATGATAAGGAAGCAATGGAGAAACATTGTCTGGAGGTGGATATATGGATTGAGGAGGATTAACTATAAATTTCTCTTCCCACCAAGCTTTCCAAGGCTCAATTTCTTGAGATGGCATTATTTCGGATTTATTAGCATCCATATTAGCTAATAACTTTTGAGTAGTTAAGATAACTTCTGTCGATACTCTTGGAGCTGCCATAGTTTTTAAAGAATTAGAAGCAAATTTATTTACGCAAGAAACTGAATGTTTCTTAAAACATTCATTCGAACAATATCTAGCTCCACAATTAGGACATGAGTACATTGCTTTTTTATGGCAAACATCGCATAAATCTGTTAAATCTATATCTGTTTTTTCCATCGATATAAAAAAGTAGATAGCCTTAAATTATTTGTTATTCACTTCTTCGCTTGCTTTGCTGAGATGTGTAACATCGACTAATTTCATGAATTATCAAATATTCAACCTCGCTTGAAACAGCCACCTTTCATCAAAAAGCATTGACAAATCTAAATTTTTTTAATCAAATTTATTTCAATTCATTTTTGAAGAAGAACATAGTTTAAAAATATATACAAATCCGATTCATAGTTATTTCAAGACAAATCTAAAGAAAATAAACGAAATGTTTATGTTTTCCATTGACTATAATAATTATTTCACAGTTTTGATATCATGACAATAACTCACTACAGTTAATTAACACATATGCACCACATCAAAGCCATTTTAGAAACTTTTAAATATTGATTCTCGATATTGCAACGAATTACTCAGAAATAAACGAAAACCTAGTTAGATATAAGAATAAGTTGTTGGTTTTTTTTAGACGATATTGCAACGAATTACTCAGAAATAAACGAAAACCTAGTTAGACGGAAATATAAAAAACTCGTCTAAAGTATAAAATGATCTACGAAAGCAGATCTTATTAATTTGCGTATACTTACTAAATGCATCCGAGCGTGTAAATGACATTGCTTAATATGAAATCAGAAATACATTTCTAAATATTTGATTTTTTTAAAAAATGACTTTTGAACAACATTAAATTTACCTATTTGGGACATTTCCTCTGCTATAGGAAGAGCTGTTGTTGAATGGTCAAGTGCTTATGCCATTACTTTGTAGAAATTTTTGAGTTTTTTTACGATTATGAATCATATATTCCTTATCTTATAAACAATAATTTTATTTGGTTTTTCCTTCGATCGAATTTAACTTTATTGAAAAACTTTTTTGAATACAATTTTTTTTATTGCAACAATGGAAAAGTTGAAACAAGGAGCAAAGTTCGGTGATTACCGCCTTGTGCAGTGCGTTGGTCACGGAGCTTTCGGTTCTGTCTGGTCAGCTAAAAAAGAGCAAGAAGAACAAGCAATTTACGCTATCAAATTTGAATTTCCTACAGTTTCAAAACCAATTCTTGCCAGCGAAGCACTTATCAATCAGGATTTGTCAAATCTCGGTACATTTACAAAATTTTACGAATCAGGAACACTTCAAGGCTTGTCTTACATGGTTATTGAAATGCTTGGCATGTCAGTACGTATTTTCCAAGAAAACCATCCTGGAGGTATCTTACCACTCAGTGAAGTCGGCAGATTAGGAGATGCCATGTTAACTGCCATTCACAAATTCCATGACGCCGGATACGTTCATCGTGATATCAAACCATCCAACTTCGTCTTCCGTGGGAGACCAGCAGATCTCGATGTTTGCTTAATTGACTTTGGCTTAGCAAAGAGATGGAGGAATAAAGATGGAACAATCGAGCCTGAACGTCCAAATGTAGGTTTCAGAGGTACATCTCGTTACGCATCCATTAATAGCCACGATGGCGCAGATCTTGGACGCCGTGATGACCTTTGGTCACTGTTTTATCTTTTGATCGAACTTTTCGCACCACCTTTGCCATGGAAGGCTCAAACATCAAAAGATGCAGTTGCACAGATCAAGCGTCGCGGTGTTGCAAAGCTTTGCGTTGGTTTGCCACCACAATTCAACGACTTCGCACAACATTTATCTACATTAGGTTTCGCGGATGAACCAAACTACGAGCATCTTCACGACTTACTCCACGGAATTACAGAAATCGGAGACAATGAAGGCGGTGGGTCTGATTATGGCGGCTCTTTGAGCGCACAGTTCGGATCAATGTCACTCATTGTTGCTCCAAACAGTGGAAGTGTTATCGGAAGCTCTTCCGCTGTTCTTGGTTCTTGGGAAGAAGGAGCAAGAAATGATAACATCGAAGTCAACGATTCTATCAACGAAGAAAACGAAAACCATGAAGAGAAACCTAATAAAGAGGGCTCAGGTGGCTGCTGCATCCTCATTTAATTGTAATATTATTTTCATGGTCTATATATCTCTTGTTTTAAAATAAACAATTTCTTTTCTAAATTAACATCATTTCTATATTTTTATGATCATATCTTTTAATTAGAAAAAAATTATTTTAATTAAGACCTCATGTACATTCATCTAATGGTGTTTGCAACTCCTTATTTTACGGAGATATATTTGTTATCATTCGCTGTAAATATTAATCGATCTTTGAGAAAACATTTTCATAAAATATATTGTGAACTCTCTAGAAATTGAGCAGGTGTGCGCGTGGAGCCTTAAGTCGAAAAAAATCATTAATATTATTAACCATAGAAATATTTATAAAAGCATACAGAAATTTTCAATAAAGAAAAAGATAAAATTTATAGATTTTGGAAGGCATTAGTGAGATTCTTCAAGCAACTGCCTTATTACATCACTGCTAGCATAAGAGAGCACATTCTTCCCTTCATTGTCTGTGGCTTCTTTGTTAGCACCCGCAGAGATAAGATATTGAACAACTTGGATATGGCCGTTTTTTGATGCCAAAATGAGAGGAGTCCCTCCACAATTTGTCTTCGCTTCCTTATCAGCGCCGACAGAGATCAAATATTTAACGATTTCGAGTTGGCCATTTTGAGATGCGTAAATGAGTGGTGCTTCTCCATAATTATTTCTTGCTTCTTTGTTAGCCCCAGCAGAAATAAGATATTTTACAACTTCAAGGTGTCCATTTTGAGATGCAAAAATGAGAGATGTTTCTCCATAATTGTTTTTAGCTTCTTTGTTGGCACCGACAGAAATAAGATATTTGACGACTTCGAAGCGTCCGTTTGATGATGCCGAAATGAGAGGTGTAGATCCATTATTATTCTTTGCCTCCTTATTTGCGCCAACTGAGATAAGATATTGAACTAGTTCGAGAGATCCATTAGCTGAGGCGATAATGAGAGGTGTTTTCCCACAACTTTTCTTTGCTTCTTTATTGGCACCTATTGAAATTAAATATTTGACAACTTCGAGGCAACCGTTTGATGATGCGATAATTAATGGAGTGCTTCCATAATTGTTCTTTTCTTCTTTATTGGCACCAACGGAGATGAGATATTTGACTACCTCCAAATGACAATTTTGTGATGCAAAGATGAGTGGTGCTTCTCCGTTATTGTTCCTGATATCTTTGTTTGCTCCTACAGATATAAGATATTTGACCACATCAATATGACCAAATAATGACGCCAATGCGAGTGGACTGAAACCATCTTTAGTATTCTTAATATCTTTGTTACAACCGCATTCAATCAATGATCTGACAAGCCTGAGGTTTCCTTTTTTAGCTGCAACAAGGAGAACATTGTTACCATACTTTTTATCTTCCTTTTCCCAGAGTCCTTCCTGACATGCTTTGTGAATCATTCTTTGGTTTTCTTTTTCCGCAAGTGTATCAAGGAATTGATAGATTGCATCAAAATTATTTGATCTCTTGTATTTTTCAACATTTGATATGAATTCCTTTGGAAAATTCTCTCTATTAAGTCTAGATTTGAGGGTTTGGATTTCTTTCTCGTAATTTTTAGTTTAATTCACCAATTTTATAAACATATCATTCTGTTGAGTTAATATGTCGATTATTGTATCCAACAATCCTAACTTCATGCATTTTCTGACTGTTTTCAATATTGATAGAACGTCTCCAATACTATTTACTGAAACAACTGTATTACGTGTTAGTTCATACAATTTGCTTGCGTCCATTATAGATGTGGATTGTTCAAGGAGTGTAATATAATCATCTGATGATAATTTTGCAGATTTTAGGATTAAAGTAATGTCTTCCTCTTTATAAGCGGTAAATAGTTTACCTTCTATTATGAAATCTTTGATATGCGCTGCAATATAATCAATACTATGATGATTCATGGATACAATATTGTCACTTTTCGGATTCAGGAGAATCTATTTACCTCCAGTTTTTTGATATATCTCATTCAATATAATGAATTAGGTAACTTAAGGATGTTAAACAATAGATTAGGCTTAAAAATATGAAAGTGGCATTTTGATTTCATTTAATTCTCAAAAATAACCTTGTACTCGCCAGTTTTTACTAGTTCGCTAAATGAGAAATCCATTTTTGCATCTCTATATCACAACAATAGCATTTACAACTGTAGAAAAAAAATTTAATTTGATCCTCAAATTTACACTTTTGTTACGTTTTTATACAGGTGTGAAGCCTCTTAAAAATGCAATAAAAGTGTAATTATCATACTAATGATTGTTTTGATTCTAATGCCGAACAGCATTTGAATCAAAAATAATCGTATGCTTGATAATTAATTAATTTATATTGGCGCTCCAGGCCGATAAACATCATTGTCAGAAAAACGTTTTTTCGATTTTTAGAGAATGTCTACGCTTCCAAAACTGCCTAACATTCTTCGTAAGGTTGGAGTAACATCTACTGCTGCAAAAGGAAATCAAAGTTCTACATCGAATCTTCCTCAAACATCTTCTCCTTTATCAAATCCACTTCCAACAATTCAAACTCCTTCACCTCCAGCAAATCAACCTCTTCCAAAGACAGGACCATCAGCAGCTCAAATCCAAAGTCAAAATGTTCAAATACAAAATCTTAGAGAAACAACTTTACGTAAATATGAACAATATGTTTCACAATTACGCCAGTTAGATAGAAACTTCTCACTCAACATGAAGAAAATTGAACAAGCAAACTCAAGAGCTATCACTCGCGTTGTTGATAGCGTTTCTTCACTTGCTTCTGAAATTCAACAACTTAAAAATCAATCAACATTGTTACAACGCAAACTCCGCAATATTTCCAAGATGCAGGAGCAAACACAGAAGGATGGAATCACTCGCGCAATCAAACCGTTGAGTGATGGATTTACCGCGTTTGAAACTGAATTTGACAAAGCGCAAAGCAATGTAGACAAACTTTTCTTCGGGTTAGAAACTCGTACAGGTAATCTTTTAGATTCTTATAAGGCAATTTCTCCAATTACAAAAACCGTCAAAGATTTCCAAGCAAGACTTGCCGAATTGACGCAAAGCCATCAGAATACTGTTGACACACTCAATATCAGTAAAGCCGAAATCAGAGAGCTCTTAGATCAGCAAAGAAACCATGTTTTACAAACAATCAACGATAAAACCGCCGCTTTATCTGGTCGGATCGCCATTTTAGAGCAAAGAGCAGCAAAAGCATTAGATCAAAGCCAGGGTGTTATTTCGGACTCCCAGACTGCCCAATTTGAGATGAGAAAAGTTTTCGACCAATCATTAGATAATTCCATGAAATCATACAAACAAAGGTTGGATGAAGTCAGAGGATTAATCACTGATTTGGCTCAAACTAGATTCAATCAAATTGATGATTTAAGGAACAGATTAGCCACAGCTTCTGAAGAATTGTCTAAAGCAAAGCACAAGAACATGAAACAGATGATTGAAACAAAGACTGTTGCAAGAACATCATTGAGACCAGAAATTGATAGATTAAAGGCAAAATGCGAAGAATTGGAAAAGATTCTTGAAGAAAAAGGTAAATTAAACAATAAACCTCGCGAAGTAAGGATGTATCATATGGTACAAGAAGATGGAACCATTAAATACATCAATGTACTCGCAGATGGAACAGTTGTTGTTTAAATTCTAATTATTATTGTTTTGTTATTAGTTTTATAAATCTTTAAAATTATTTATGAAAAAAAGTATAAATTGTGTATCTACAATTGCCGTAATAAACATTCATCACAGGGAAATCAAAAGGATAATTTCAAAAGCATGAGAAGAATTACTTTGGAAGATACTACTTCGGAAAGTGAAAAAGGAAATCTAAAACATGTCTAATCATTTCAATGAAAGTGGCCATGATAAAGAAGCAAAGGATATTTGTGAGTATACAACGTTCATCATTGCATTAATTCAATGTCATGTTGAAGTTGTCAATTATCGAGTCTCTGTTGGAATTGATAAAGATGTAAAGAATAAAAATGGAAAAACTGCACTTGATGTTGCAAATAACAACGTAAATGTTTAACTATTTTCTGTTCATCTCATTAATATAATTAATGAGAAAGATACAAGCAATAAATCAGATGACTCTATCACAGTTTGTTGTATTATTAATACTTTTGTTAAATATTCAATTACCACTTACACAACTTGTCACTAGAATATATCAATCAAAAAGTAGACTTAACTGTGCCATGAACTCTGTACATTCTTGATACAATTATTTAAAAATATTTTCCAAAATCCCTTATTTTTTGTTTTTGATATCGTTTTATATATACCTAAAATTAGTATGTGTTATTCTTTATATATTCAATATAAAATTCATAATCTATGAGTTCAACTGATAATCAACTTTCATGGACTATAGCGTTTTCAGATAAAACAACAGGTATTGCTGCAGTCCCTCAATGCCTGTCATCAGGAGATATCTTTGGTGATGGGAATTGTCGAATTTTAATTGCAACATTAGATCAAAAACTTATTTGCTTCGATGGCGCCAGAATGACTCACAATATTACAATACCAGACATGCCAAGTAGTATATGTGTTCACTATAATACATCATCATCTTCTTTACCGTTAGTTGCAGTTGGTGCTGGTAATAACATTCTCTTCTTCCTTAACTTAAGACAATTTTCGAAATTTACACTACCTTTGCCATTTAAATCACCTGAAGAAGAGGCAATTTATCAACACATTCAAGCACAAACAGAAGGATATACACTCGAGCAAGCGCAATTAGAGCTTACCCAACTCAAAGATCGCAATGTTTCGCTATCTACAACATCATTATCTTTTATTGCTGCAGATTTAAAGCAGACAATGGTAATGAATCGATATAAAGAGCTCTTTTCAGACATTACGTCACTTGATTGCATTACAGCAATGGCATCCATCAAAAATAACGCCTTAGAAGATGATAAATCTACACGTTTACTCGTTGGAACAGAATCTCGTTGTTTATTACTTCTCGATTCCAAAGATTTGAAGGTAGATAAGAAGTGGGAATTCGATTCCCCACCATCAGCAATCATTGCCAATGGCTATATGACAGGAAGTTCCGTAATTGTCGTAGTTTGTAGAGATCGCATCGTAAAAGTCATCTCAAACCTTAGCGAGCGACCAGTGCATATACACTGCAACTCATTACCAATTGATGTTGCCGTATGTGGTGGCCTTGTTTACATTGCTTTGATGTCCCAAAATTTACAAGTATATGATATCACAGGAAAACTACAAGAAACAGTTTCATTTGATGAACAGATCATTTCTCTTGCCACAGTTAGTGTCGAAGAACGCCAGATCCAACTCTGCTGCGTTGCAACTGCGAAAGGAAATCTCACTTTTCTTTCTCAAGGAAAAATTTCATCGACATACACTTTCCCCGAAGGAATTTCAGCTCTTTACTTCGGAAAAGTCGGTCGTGAGCCGAACAACCTTTTATCCATCAGTTCCTACGGTGGATTGTTCATGAGAACACTTTCAAGAGTTTCTCAAAAACAAAATGAAGTGAAAAAAGAAGAACCAGTTTCTCCGATTCCTATTCCACGGAAATCTCAATTATTCCTGGAACAAGTTGAGCGCGAGAAGAAAGACTCACAGAAAATGTACAACGAATGGCAGAACTCTTTAAGATACCTTTCAATGCTATCGGCAAATGTTTATGCACAAATTTTGGAAACTTCAGTTTTGTCACCGATTGACACTGTTCATTTTGCAGCGAAAGTTCTCGGAATGGGTCCATCATTTGTTCTGCAAGTTAACGTGACAAACACAGGTAAGGAACCCGTCAACTTCTTGACAATGATTCCTTCTTTCAATGATAAAGTATATAGAGTTGAGCCTTCATCAGTTTCTCTTCCATCTTTAATTGGCGGATATAAATACAGCGCAAAATTCGCTGTTGAATCAATTGATAGAGAAGGAAAGGCTGATGTAATTACAATATCTGCTGTTTCGTCACAGTATTCAATACCTCTAGGAACATGCAGTGTTCAAATGCCAGTTTCTCAATTCCCTGTTGAATAAAAAAATAGTTGTAATTGTTTTGTATGATATAAAAATAACTAATTTATTCTATATCGAACATGTCATTTCAGTATAAATAAAATTAATAAATCAGATTTGATGGAATGAGGTCGATGAAAAATTGAGCGTTTTTAAAAAACCGCCGTTTGAGAGGAAAATTGAGAGCCCCGATGTATACTTTTTGACATTGTCAAAAACTTTGAAAGGACCAAAAAAAATTGTGTCAGAAAGTTTACAAATGTATACTTTCTGACAAACAGACTCTCAGAAAGTACTCAAACTGCGGTTTTTAATTTCCGCACTTATATAAAATGAAATATGTTAGATGATAGATGTTGTTGGTTAAAATTATGAAATTATCAGTTCCTCCACTGGAGTTATGGTCTCCAGGCGAGGCTATTTATTTTTAACTCGCCCCTGGGGGACAAAACGACATCCTTACTCCATCATACTATGTATATTTATACATATATAGCTTTCGAAATAAATCAAAAAGTTGGGCATAGATAGAAAAATGACAATTTTTGACATCAATTTCCATTTCCAATGTCATCTGAGATGATTTTATGAATGCTTTATAAATATATAATCCCCCACATTATGATATAACCTTATGGATGAAATATTATTCTGGTATAATTTAAATTTATCTCCTTTCAATTTTTTAAAAATATATTGAAGTTTCTATTTTGAAATACCGCTTTATGAAAATGGAAAAATAGTGAAATGATGAAGTGAACTAATGCATATAAAAATCCAACATTTGCAAAAACCACTTTTCAAATTTGAAAGGATGAGTTCTGATGAAGAATCGACGTGGGTGCTCCGTAATCATATAGCAGAGATGGAAGAGCCTAAACAGAATGATGAGAATCTTCTGGAAACTCTTCATTACATGGATCAGGCTTCAAAAATTATTTGGGATCTCAATTCAAACAATGGCATAGAAATATCATGCAAATTAAATGAGCTAATTAAATCTCAAAAAATAACTATCGATATTGTCCTTTTTATCATTGATTCTTTCTCAATACTAAGGAAAAAAGAGATAAATTTATTTACTGAATTTTATTTACAAATGTCAAATGGAGTAACCTCATACATTGAGCCAGTAAACAAAAGATTAAAAACATTATTGCACTATAAAGGTCTCAAATTTCATAACTTTGAGCCAAAATGTAGTGAAGAAGACATACCCAATTTGTATGATAAAGAAAGTCCATTATATTATATTGCATGGGACAAAGTTGATGAACTTAAAAGTAAATTTCCAGATCTTGATGTTGATGTAGCAATAAAAAATAAAAACTTAGATAATAAATGTACACCACTTGAATGTGCTTGCAAGTATGGATCAGAGCTATGCTTCTTTTATTTCAAGAATATAGGTGCTGAATATACAAAATGTTGTGCAGAATATGCAGTTATTGGTGGGAATTTTACAATATTTGACCAAATGATAGATGATGAGCAAAATTTTGATTACATGGTAAATATTGCATTGAAATATCATCATTATGAAATTGCAGATTACCTTAAAGAGAATTTTAAACAAGAAAAAATCTCTATAGCCGAATGTATGTATTTTGGAAATTATGATATCGCTTCCAGTAGACTATTAAATTGTGGATTCGTCGATTCTGAGTGTATTTTATTTCTTCTAATGTTTATCATTAATTGAAAAAATTATCTTGCTTTTCATGTTTGTTTTTTATTTTATGTAATTTTCTTATTATTAATATCATTCAAAGTTTAATTTTATCGAATTTCTATATATATCATGATTGCTTTTATCGAATTCCATGTATAGTTTTCACATTCTCAATATTAATCATATTGATCACTTATTTAGGTAGTTCTCTTTTATGTAATATTTGTTATTTTCTTGTTTGTTTCATATAATTTGAGTGAACGCCCTCTCACTATTGCAATTAATTTAAATCTATTCGATGTTGTTAAATTCTTAATTAATCATAATGCAGACGTTAATGGAGATTATTTTATTCACTTTTATATCAAATTATTCAAAGTTTAATAATAGTATTCTGCAAAAAATGAAGTCCCTCCCATTATTCTAGCCGTCGAACAAAATGCAAAAGATATCCTCAACTTATTAATTGAACATGGCGCAGATGTTAATTGGGGTGTTCACACTGTTCTTATATCTCTCATTGAATTATGGTACTTCCATTTGCTTTATAAATTTCTCAATCTATAAATATCAATCATTACTTAATGATATTCTATCTATATTTATTTTCATCATTTCAACATAAAATTCAATTGATTTAGAATTAGGTCCACTTACGCTTGCTATCTATCAAAATTCCATCGATTGTGTTAAAAGCTTGGTAGATAATGGTGCTGATGTAAACAAGATTATATTTTTATTTCTTCTGATATCAATCAATATTATACAATGTCCTACTTCTTTTTCATATCAATTATCATTTTAAGGGATTTAATTTCATTTAACATCGTTCATTGCATTTCAGTATTAGCTTTTGATTTAGATAATCAATTATTTCAAAAAATTCAATATACTGGCAATTCTATCATTTATTGATTGGATACGGTTTCACCTCATATTCAACTTTGATTCTACAAAACTCATTTTGTTTTGATGATTGTCCTCTTCATATCGCAGTGAAACAAAACTCAATTGATATTGTCAGGTATTTAGTTGAGCATGATGCAGATGTTAATATGAAGTTATTTTGCTATCCATTAATATAAATCAATACTTCATGGGATCCTTTTTACATTATAATCTATTATAATCTTGTTATATTTTCTTTCTTATTATATTTTTAATTGCTTCACCAGGTTCTTATTATAATAATGAATGTCCACTTACTCTTGCAATCAAACAAAATTCTATGGAAATCGCAAAATGCTTAATTAATCATGGAGCAGATGTCAATAGTAGACTTTTTCTTTTTCTATTCATATCTTTCAACTGTTAATAGATTTGAATTTCTTTTCATATTCGCCCAAGCTTTAAGCCATTAATTGTAGCTTAATAATGTCCTCCGAATTTTCATCTCATTCACTAATTTATCAAATCCCATTTCTGATAATGACTGCCCTCTTACAATTGCAATCATGCAGAATTCAATTGATTTTGTTAAGTTCTTAGTTGAACATGGTGCAAATGTCAATATCAAACTTATTCTATTGGATTTCACATTTATCAATATTGAATGATTATTATGATAACATCTAGCATTGGTTTATCAAGTTCTCATTATATTAAAGAATGTCCACTATCGATTGCAATAAAACAAAATTCACCCGACATTATAACATATTTGGTTAAACATGGCGCTGTTAAAACAAATCATAATAAATGCTATATTTAGTGGGATTCTAATTATTAATAGGTGAATGCCATTGAAATTATATCAATAAAGACATTTTATTTCTATATTTTTAAGGGTGCCCTATAGACGATAGACCACCCTCAGAAAAGCACTTTTAAGGCTATTATATTGAGAACTAGAATCTGGATAATCCATTCATTCGAGTTCTAATAAGGTTAATTTTGTGATGTTTACATTATCGTTATAGGGCACCCTTAACAGATTGAAAAGAATTTTGGTTAATTACTTTAAATTTCCATAAATTTCTTATGAAATATAATATAAAAGTTGCTAAAATCGATTTCATATCATTCAAATTGCTAGAACAAGTGTTAATAATGAGTATAAAACTTAGGTTTAATCCTGGTAATCATTGTTAGCATAGTTTCATTGAAGAATGCTGATATGTTCATCAACAATAGGATTTCATAAATTGATTTCATTTTGCATCTAAGGATATTTCATCTTTTATCTTCAAATAAAAAAAAGCATTTAGCTAGGCTCACTGTTTTTCGAATATAATAGAATGATCTGATTAAAATAATGAGAAAGAATATAACATAACTCATTACATCTAACAAACTCAAGTGCAAAAAATGCGGAAAAACGATTAATTTACTTTCTAATGAAAATCTTCTCCGAAAATACCAGAAAACTAAAGCATATCTCATGTAAGAACATTATCTTTTTGCACCATGAGAAATAAGAACCTTCGTGATTTCTTTTTTACTTTTTTCTGCTGCAATATGAAGTGTGGTTCTTCCATCTTCATCTTTTTCATTGATATTCGCACCATGTGAAATAAGAACTTCTGCAGCTTCTTTACTATTATATATTGCTGCAATATGAAGTGCGGTTTTTCAATAATTAACTTTTTTATTGACATTTGCACCATGTGAATGGAAGTATTCCAAAAGGGATGGAATATTAAAAATCGATAAATAAACAAAGCATTTGTTTATATCATTAGTTTGATCGAAATGAACTAAAAAGGATTCAAGATTATTAAAAATTCCGCAATCTTCTAAATTGATCTCTATATTGTACTCATTCATCAAGAATGTAAAAAATCAATGTTGTGTGAAATAATTGCATATTTCAATTGATTGTATATATAATCACAATTATATTTATTATATTAAAATCCAAAAATAATTTTTGAGTTTCAGATCTCCATAATTTCCAATATAAATATATGTTTATTTTATTAAAAATAGAATGTTTAATTATTGGTAAAAATCGACCCGCTATTCATATGGCCTCCCATAAAGATGGATCAAGCGGAGCGAGAATGCAAAAGTGACATCGAGATTTACATGATGGAAAAGTGACAATTTCCCATAATGATGAATTTAACTATCCTATCTTTGAACCAATTCCGTTTCTCTAGTATAACACGCGATTTTCAAAAGCTTCAAAATAATTTCTATCCAATAAAACCTGGCCAATACAAATCTATTTCAAAAGATATTAAAGTCGATTCATTCAATATTGAAGGTTACACTCCTATTCACGGCGTCAATAAAAATACTGGTAAAATGGTGGCAAAAAGTATTATATTCTTTTCGGTTTTCATGTTATTCAATTTAATTTTGTTAACTTATTACTGTATAAGAGTGCGCAAAATGAGAGAAGTTCGATCAGATTATTCAATAGATAATTTTTCGTTGATTTCAAATAAAAGTGACTGAAATTGACAAAATTTGAATATTAATAACTATTGTTTCCTCATGCACATGCACAAAACCTATTTTTGTTAGTAAAATATAAATAATATTTACTTTATTCTTAATTTCTTTAAATGATTTTTTTTAAATCATGATTAATTGAGCATTCATATGTTTCTAATCATACAAAACAAATTTCCTTCTTGAAATTCTAACAATTCCTCATAAAGAAAAGATTATACTGGTGATTTTGATTGATTTTTAAATTGAAAATGAATAAAAAGTAGATTATGATAGAACATTAAATTTAAAAATTGATGGAAAATATATTGATGCATAAGAATCATTCTTGGATTGAAATTGCAACCAATATTTTTTTAAAAGTTCAAGAGAATTGAGTAGAATACTCTAAAGATTTTCCATGTATTCTTAGAAAAGGTAAATTAAGAAAATTCAATTTAGAAAAATAAAAAAAAAATTAATATTTTAATAATAACAATCAAATTAAAGTAAATAAATCGCTTATTGCACTTAACGTAAAGCAATGATTCATATCGAAATCAAAATTTTTTGATAAAATATAATTTTGATTCTGAATTTTTCTGAATTTCAAAGGTAAATGCTTGATTTACTTTGTATCTTCAGAAGCATAGAATTTGGTAAGTTCAGTTAAGAAAATCGAGTGAATCTTATCGATCGCATCTGTAATTGAAGAAATATCGATGATATATTGAGGCGGGAACTTCGATGCGAGTAGTTCTTGTAATTTGTGAGCGTTGTGTTGAATTTGACAGATTCTATCTCCGCAATTTCCTTTTCCACTTGTAAAAAGGAGAGAGCATCTGATAGATTCGTCGATAATTTGCTTTGGCTTTGTAACGCATATTGGAAGTATGAATCCCATCTTTCCATTTGCGATTTTACTCATATTATCAACTTTAAAGCAATCAAGTGGAATAAGTGAGTTTCCACCGCATAATTTCAAGAAGTTTGTTGGATCTAAGTGGATTCCTTCAATAATCAAAGGTTTTCCATCAGTTAATGTTTTAGTAATATCTCCAGCAATTCCGGAAATGGCGATGTTGCAATCTGTCTGGTAAGCATGGATAAAATCTTCTGTAGACGCGTAGGCTGTATTCCAGAATTTGGAGTTCATGTGGTCGTTCGTTCCATTTGTTAAAGAGTTTACGATACTTGTTTGCAAAATCGTGGAGATATTCAGACGCTCACCGAGCTGGAATGCGAGAGAAGGCTTTCCAATAAAGCCTGTTCCTGTAATTAAAATGATTAATGGAACTCTTTCCAAATTGAAGCGCTGTATCAATTTAAATCTTTGTTGGAGGATTTCGGATCCGTCTGCCTTTGAAAGACGCTCAAAAACCATTGCTGTAAGCTCATCTTGAGTGACTTCATATCTTTTTGTATCAATTAAGTCTTTTTTGATCTTTCTTGGTATGTCAAGAGCAATGCTTGATGGAACTTGGCAAGCAAGTAAGTATCTGGAAAGGTTGAAACGACTATAGACATACTCATATTTATCAATCTTGACGTGAACAGAGATATTGTCGTATTTTGAACGAAGCATTCTCTCCTTGTGCTCATGGTGGATTTTAGATGGATTGATTAAGTCTGTGTTTATGTAGCTATTGAGCGTATCCCAAGTTAAAGTAGACTTCATTTGGGGTAAAAAAAATAAGACGATAAAAATTGCGATAGAAAATTTTACAATAATCGTTCAACTATCATTTAAATTTAAAATAATTCGTTTTAATATGAACTCTCAAATATCAAAGATTTTAAAAATGTCACTTTTTAATGCTTTATGAATGTTTTTCAATCATAATTTTAGCTTATATTTCCATTATTATCGGTCAATCATTTCAAGTACATGTGAGATTTTCCTATTGCGAATACATAAATACAACAAAGCTTATGAAAAATCGAGTTTTTTATAAAGTTCCGTTTTCGGATATATCTTTTTTTGTAGATTCAAATAAAAAAGAGGATATCAATAGATCGCTTGTTTCTAGACACCAATATGAATTTTATGGCGAAATTTCTCCTTCTTGTTTTATGAGATCGATAGTATACGTCGCAACATATGAAAATACATTTCTAGCAAGAATACCTGCGTTCTATCAGATTGGAATTTTACCTCATGATGAGTTTTATACTGATAAATTAAGATTAACACATAATACCGTTGGAAACTGCCTTTATGCTGTATTTTATATTCAAGAGTATCCTATGTTTGGTCATTTAATTCATGATTTTTTAGCTTCTATGATGTTTGTTCCTGAATACGTAAATAAATCTGGTTTTACAGTTATTGCTCCAAGATCTGGTAAAGAAATTGCAGATATATGGTGTAAATATCTTGGTATTAATGCAAATATTGTATCCCTGGCAGAAAATGAACAGATTCAGGCAGCGAAACTCTTTTTGATATCTGGAAGAAAGGCTGCTCATAGCGTTACTGTAGGTGGTATCAAGAGATTAAGGAAATACATTGAAGAAAGACTAAATTTATCCAATATTATTCCAACAAAATACGTATTAGGAAATAGACCAAAATCTGCATATAGATCTATATTGCACATTGATAAGCTATATGAATCGCTCAAGAAAATCAATGAAAACTTTGTTTTACATGAAAATGAATTTGATAATTTAGAAGAAAATGCTAAATTTTGGTCAGACATTAGGATATATGTTGGTCCTTGCGGGTCTAATATCTACAATTCGGTTTTTATGCGAGAGAATACCGGATTATGCTTATTATTTAGTCACATGGATCTCCCGAATGTCCATTTGTGCATAACAAGTAATTTTTATATGATCGGACTTGTCCAACAGTGTTTTAGAAAAGATAACTTTGAAAAATACGATATTCAACTATTTCTTAGGTATGTTAAGAGTGTCATCTACTGTGTAGATAATAAGAGATGGCCATCTGATATAGATATAGATTCTCCATTAGTTTCTCGATTTAAATATGAATATAATGATCCTCTTCCTGATATAAAGGCATTTGTTGGATCATAGTAAGGGTTTCGTTTTGCTAAAATTGTCACTTTTATAGCATATTTGTTTTTGGATGTTTTGCGAAACCAAAAAAAAAAAAAAAAAAAAACTATGATATACAATGTGTGTGTAAAGAAAATACTTTATTTACTAGTTAAAAAATCATTTGGTATTGATCAAGTTATTTTTTCTGGATAAGATATTATATGGATAATTGGATAGAAAATACAATTATATAATCTTGTACCTGGTTTAATTAAGCTAATTGTCATCAGAAACTTGTAATTTTTATGAATTTCAGATTTTCTTTTCATTACTGCTTTTCTTAATAGGTCAAGTTCTTATTTACGTTATAAAGTATAATATTTACAAATATCAAGTTATCATGTTTTTTGAGAAATTATGAGAAACAAACAAAAATGAAAAAGATAGGAATAGCAATGAATAGTGATGTGGGTATAGAAAATGTAAGAGATATGAATGCAAAGCAACCAGTATTTAGGACATTGACCATAGATTTCGAAAAAAAATGGGGTATTATTATTGTCGTCTGGCGGTTTTAGAGGACAATGCGAATTTTCAAATAATAGGATTTTTAGCCAGATAAAGAGCTACTCCATATATCATGTGTGTTTGCATACTATATACATAGATGGAATTGATGTTCTTCCTTTATTTAGGTACCGAAACATGCTTGAAAAATCTATTTTTTAGACGACAATGATAATTTTGTCACTTTTCCAGACGACAATAATAATTTGTCACCTTTTTAGACGACAATAATAATTTTGTCACTTTTCCCAGACGATAATAAAACATCCTCAAAAAAATGCTGCATATTGAGCGAAAACTATGATTATATTATAAGGCTGTCATTTAAAGCATAATGAAACTATTCCCTTTTCATTTTAATCGAATAAGATAGTAAAGATTTTTGAATTAGCTAGAAACTGATGAGATGTTTTCACAAATCAGATTTTTAATCTCTATAATGCATAATTCGCTCAATATCTCAATTTTGATATTGCGAGATATTTTTGCTATCGGTTTCGCAATTTTGACACAATAGCAAGAGGGTTCTATAAGCATTATTATCAACGTAGAATCTGAATATCATATCAGAAAATGTCGCAAATCTAACATTTACCCGACCAAATAGCAAAAATAATTGAATGAGGGGGCACAAACTTGCCCAGTGAGGTGAAGTGAAAAGTGACAGGTTTACATGTCAGAAATGTAAAGTGTCAGATTTGAAACAAAGAATGTATTAATTTATTATTATATGATAGAGAGATTTGGTAAGTTACTATCAAATTTGTAAGTAAGGGAAAAAAAGTAAGAAAGAAAAAAATTTTTAAAAAATAAAAAGCCACTCGCTTCGCTCGCGGTTGACAAAAAGAACAAATTCGAAAAATAATTGTATGAAATTACGAAACTAAGCCACTCGCTTCGCTCGCGGCTTAAGAAAAGAACAGATTCGAAAAAAGATTGTATGAAATTACGAAACTAAGCCGCTCGCTTCGCTCGCGGCTTAAGAAAAGAACAGATTCGAAAAAAGATTGTATGAAATTACGAAACTAAGCCGCTCGCTTCGCTCGCGGCTTAAGTAAACATCATATTTCAGATTATCGATACTAAATTTTTTTTTTATTTTATTACATTTTTTTTAAAGCTTCTTAACTTAAATCATGGAATGTCTCAAAGACAAAAGTAGCATACAGCATGTAAAGCTAAAGAAAGATAATCATAATTAATACCTTAATTTTTAATATTACGCATTTTTAGGTGCAAAATTTAAAAACATTCTAATACAATAGAGCAGTTTCCAAAAGTAGCATACAGCATGCAAAGCTAAAGAAAGATAATCATAATTAATACCTTTAAAGTTTAAAATCTTGATTTTTTTTAAAATCAAATATTTATAACTTTAATACATACAGCTTAAACCTTATACTTGTTTTCTCTTGTGAAAAAGCAATCTTACAAAGCTAACAATCCTAAAAAATAAAGAATTAAAATTTAATAATTTAATCTAAAATTAAAATCAAAATTAAATAAAATGAGTTCTTTGTAATAATACTTTCAAGGTAGGATATATTTTAGTGGGATCTATTGAGTCATCACTAACAGCATTGAGCAATCTATTGAGCATTGAAATACTCTCGATTTTTCTTTGTCTTTTTACATCAATTTCTGCGTTAGTTGCTTTTTCCATGATCCTAATGACACGGTCATCTGCTGGATTTTGATCAATTTTGAGTTTGATAACGAAAGATGGTATCACTTTTGTATAAATTTCTATAATAGCATCATCAATTCTGAGATTTTTTCGATCAGGAAAATAGTCATGTTTGAGTGTTCTAAAATGAGCTTCGGCAATATTGTTAGTTGCGTCGCCTTCACGCCTGTCACGAGCAATCCATCTTGATATGTTGTAACGCCATTGTCAGTTAAAGTATTGAGATGCTGTTGGATCTGTGTCGAGCAACTCCAGAACTTGATCATAGGCAGCATTTGCTTCTTCCTCATGTTCTGCATCTAATTTGAAGACCAATCCTTCATCAAATTATAGAATTGTTCAAATTTTTTCTTGAGAAGAAAACTTATTTGATTTGCGAAGAATTGCACGAAGAACATGTACTCCGCACCAAAGTATTTGAGCTTGTGGAATGCTTTCTTCTATTGCTTGAGCTATCTGTGGAGCACAGTCCATGCTAATGTATTCTGGCTCAATTGTTACCCATCTGAGATAGGCGCACACGCAAACTTGAATGTTTTGATAAGTGTCTGGTTGACAAAAGAAATATAAAAAAGGGAAAATGTGAAAATCTTTGATTTTGCCAGTAAATGCATACAATGAAATGTTTGATCGCAACAATTTATAGGTGCTGTCTATATGAAATGTCTTGATACTATGCGCATAAGCTTTGCCTTCAAAAGGCGCATAATAGAAACACATATTATTGTCTGAGACTTCAAATGCAATGAGATCATCTGGAGATTCTTCTTGTACTGTCTGAACAAAGATTTGCAATGACACAACATCGTCAGGAGAAGTTAGTATCCCTATCTTGGGTACGGCGGCACTGCGTTCCACCTTACCCAAGATAACGATTTGACACTTTACAAAACCGCTAACGTATATTTTACAACACAAACGACAACACTAACTTAACCTTAAATATTTACAAAGCCGCCAACCACTTCACCTCACTAACATTTTCGCTAACGACTTCACTAATGAAAAAATAAACGTTCTCGCTAACGTTCCCATTAATGTTCTCATTTACAAAAGTATTGCAGCGCTTCCCATTGCTGTGCTTCACACAATAGTTCATATTCTTCAGTATCGCTGCTGTCACTCCAATCGTCAGAGTCAAAATCACTGTCAAAATAAATGTATGTAAGTTTTGACAAAGCTAATGAAACACGTTTACCGTTTGTATCTATTGCTTTTATATATCTCCCATTATGTTTATTGTCATAAACGCTCAAACTAACTTTACCCTTTCTCCCTCGTATCTGATAGAATGTATTTTCACGAGGAACGAAGAACAAATTCTTGAACTCATGACCGTTGTAGTTTGTTATCTCAATAGTTTTCGTCATTACATCCAAATAAAAATTTTCAGTAAAAATAAAACTAATGAAATATTTTATTCCTCACTGTCGTCTGCTTTCTCCAACTCTTCTAACTTCTTCCTAAGTTTAGTAATGTTGTCCTCATGAAGTTTAATCTTTCTCAAAATTCCTTCTTTATCTAATGGTTGCTTTATCTTTCTAAACTGAACTCTACCATCCTTCATAGTATGAATGTAAAAACCTTCTGGAATAGTTCCTGATTTAATGTATTCTACCAAAAACTTTTGTTTCATTGCTTCAGTGACTTTAGTCGTCATTTCACTCTAAGGTGAAGCTAGCACAGCGATAATGGATTTCATGACTTTTAGTATTTCATGCAATCTTAACAGATAGCCTTACAAGTACTTCCAGTGTCCCTAGCTGTCCCTCCTTTTTATATAACTCCATGACATTTATAATCTCGCGAAACTTAACAGGTAGCATAACAGATTCAAATCAGATGAGGTTTTGAACCAAAATTTCTAAGCAACGTTGTCCAGGATTTTTGAGGAACTAGGGACAGAGTGTGGCAAAGTCCAAGATTTAATTTATCTTCATCTGTTTCATCAGCTATCTCATCTAATATGCCAATATTTTATTCATAACTCGTGGCAAACTCACTAACTTTCATTATGTTCATCTGCATGCTTCATCTGATAGAAAGTATGACTTTCATTAACTCTGTGAGATAATGAAAACTACTAGGGACAGAGACCATGGCAAAGTTCATGACTTTCATTATTTCCAGAACTTAATGAAAACTACTAGGGACAGAGACCATGGCAAAGTTCATGATTTAATTTATTCTCTCACTAACAACAAGTACAAACTCCAACACTAACGACAAAAATAAATGTCCTCACTTCTTAACAAAGTAATATGTGCTTCTTACACCACCATAGCTCAAACGTTTCTTTTCAAACATCGATTGAAACTTATTTTGAGCCATTGGCTTTAGTCTCTTTTTCTTCAAATACGCCAAGAAATCTTCTTCACATCTTTTCACTTCATAGCCTTCTTTAAACTCCTCCTTGTTAAGTTCTATGAAATCCTTTATCTCATTCTTTGTTGCAATGGCTTCTTCACGAACGACATTGTGAACTATTTCATCACTGTTCTCATGTATGACCTCCTCACTGTTCTCATGAACTATTTCAACACTGTTCTCATGTATGACCTCCTCACTGTTCTCATGAACTATTTCAACACTGTTCTCATGTATGACCTCCTCACTGTTCTCATGAACTATTTCATCACTGTTCTCATGTATGACCTCCTCACTGTTCTCATGAACTATTTCATCACTGTTCTCATGTATGACCTCCTCACTGTTCTCATGAACTATTTCAACACTGTTCTCATGTATGACCTCCTCACTGTTCTCATGAACTATTTCAACACTGTTCTCATGTATGACCTCCTCACTGTTCTCATGAACTATTTCATCACTGTTCTCATGTATGACCTCCTCACTGTTCTCATGAACTATTTCATCACTGTTCTCATGTATGACCTCCTCACTGTTCTCATGAACTATTTCAACACTGTTCTCATGTATGACCTCCTCACTGTTCTCATGAACTATTTCATCACTGTTCTCATGTATGACCTCCTCACTGTTCTCATGAACTATTTCATCACTGTTCTCATGTATGACCTCCTCACTGTTCTCATGAACTATTTCATCACTGTTTCATGTATGACCTCCTCACTGTTCTCATGAACTATTTCAACACTGTTCTCATGAACGACCTCCTTACTGTCTTTCATAAGCGTTTCAAAATCTCCTTTACTCATTACTTCAATCTCATGCTGTTCACAATAGTACTTAAACTCACTGTATATGTCTTTGTTGTATGTTATATTGCTTCCCATGTACTCCATGAATTTTTCAAGCACTTCCTCATAATTCACTGTTTCTTTCTTTCCACGACCTTCTAATATCATACTTGCTTCGTAAATATAACTTCTTGCAGAACCGTCTCGCTTTCTACTTCTCTTCACAAATTCTCTCATCTTGCCACCAAATACATTTGAACTACATGCAAAGAATTCATTCTCCTTCGCAAATTCTTTATATCTTCTGTAGCACTCTGTACAATTCCATCCGGATACAAACTTTTCATAGAACTCCTCGTAAAACATTTGGTAAGGTGTTTTGTTCATTTCGATGAGTTCTTGTTTAGCCCTGGTGAATGGTATCTTCCTTACATCAAATTCACTTAAATCTTTCTCATGAAGTACGTCAGTAAGTTTGAATAAAACTCTTCATTAAAGCTTTCAATGAGATTTGAGAAATATTCGTAATTTCCTTTGTATCTGCTGCTTACGTCAATGACAACAAATCTTCTGTCGTCTTTGTCAATCTTTACTGAGTTGAAGTTGTTAGATATCATGATGATATTACAAACATTCTCTATCTTTCTTACTGGCTGACACTTCTGATTTAAGTCCAACTGAGTCTCTGTTACTATTGACTTTAGTGCGTCGTGGTTCATGACCTTAGACGTATCGCATGAGCTTAGTTCATTGCATACGATGAGCTTCATGTTCTCAATAGCAGCATTGAATCTACCAACCACATTCTCTATTGCCGTTATATTATTGTTGGCGTACTTGCTAATGAGCTCGCATAGAACATTACTAAGTACATTCTTACCAGTTCCTTGCTTTCCTATTAACAAAAGTACTGTTCCAGTCTTTCCACAAGGATTTTGAACGATGTAGGCGAACCAGTTCAAAACATACTCATAAAGCTCTTCATCCTCATTACATATGACATCGTGAACATGTTTCAAATATCCTTCAATAATGCTTTCATCTACTTCATTCAGTACCTCATACTCATATCCTCTGAAATAGCTGTAAATGTCATCTCTTTCGTCAAAGAATCTCATGCCTGACTTCATAAGATAGTTCTTGTTCTGACCCGCTTCATAAATCATCAGTGCGTTCACATCCTTCTCCTCAATACGTCCTACATAAACACTCTTCATGAGCTTATTGAATTCCTTGCTATCTACTGACACAAGTGTTGTTGTGTCTCGTATTCCATCATAATCTTTCACTAGATATGTCATACGTGCTCCGTCAATAACAACAACACATCTTCTTAAGTCATTTATAACACTAGCTATGTCAATACCGTCCTCACTCATGTACTTATTTCTCCTCAAGTCCTTTAGTGTGAAAGTGTCTCTAAGTTCTATTTCAAGCAATTCATTTACACATCCTTTGCAATACTTCTCTATAAAATATTTCTGTCGTTCTTTACTAAGTTTCTTAACAGCTCTGAAGAACCATGTGTTTTGACTCAAACATCCTTCACAACTTCTCTCATTCATTCCTAGTTCTTTCATGTCATTATCTTCAACCTCTATGGTCTCATTGACTAAGGTCAAAGGGTTCTTAGTCATTGCTGGTCTTATCTGAAACAATGTTTGTGCAACAGGTTTAACTAGTTCAGCAACGTCCTTCCTTAATATGAATAGCTGTTTCCACTCATCTTTGCTAACAGTTCTTTCATAACCACTGACAGTAATGATTTCATTTGCTGACCTTAGACGCTTATGTTCTATCATTTGTATTGCTTTTGTGTAAGGCTTTCGTGAGCATAGGTTGTATATGTCATTCCTGCAATGTTCATTCATGCCAATAGTACTAAATCCTTTCTTTGCTGTTGAGTGCATAATATCCATTAGTTCCTGTGTTCGTATTGCTGTCTCATAAAATACAACAAGACCTTTGTCATCTATGACGTACTTACCGAAAACATTGCTTATATTCTTTAACCATGAAATAACATCCTCATTCATGCTGTCAAACATGAAGTAAGGTCTTACATACTCTTCACTTATAAGATACTCCACAAAGTACTTGTTAAGCTCTATGTCCTCGTGAGCGATTTCATTAGGTTTGATATTAGTTCCTTTTGTCATTGCTGTCATGTACTTCACTCTCATAGTTCCTTTCAATAGCGTAAAAGTACTTCATTGTTTCATAACTGCTCTAAATTCTGTTCAAAATTCGTACAACATAACTTTTAACATTAGTGAAAGAACATGAGCGAAACAACAACATCTAACATTACAGAAGAAGTCAATGACAATGCCGATGAAAACATTACAGAAGGAGCTAGTGAAAATATTGACGAGTTCAGTGAGGAAGAAGATATTGAGGACGTCAATGAGAACGTTAGTGGGGAACAAACTCAATGGGAAACATTGAGAAATCATGAAGATTATGAGATTTGTACGACATATCCTTTTACTATTCGTCGAAAGAAAGACAAACATATTATGAGTGAATGCTTAAATAATTATGGTTATATTGTGCTTAGTTTAAACAACAAAATGTACTTAAAGCATAGAATTATTGCAGAACAGTGGATTGAAAATCCAAACAATTTGAAAGAAATAGACCATATAAATCATGATAGAACGGACAACAGAATCTCAAACCTTCGTTGGTGTTCTAGATCTGAAAACAATAGAAATAAAAGCAAGTATGGCGATATAGTTTATGAGTTCGTTGATGAAATATCTGACGAAGCTGTTGAAATAACAGATTATGGTAAGCATTCGTTTGAGTTCTACTACTATGTTGAGAATGAGGACGCATTCTATTATTATACAGGTCTTAACTATCGAAAACTTCATATAAACTTTACAAAAACAGGTGCTGCTTATGTTTGTATGATAGATACAGAAAACAAGAGTGTAATCTTATTCATAAACAAATTCAAACGCTTGTACGGGTTCATGTAGGACAAACATTATTTTTCAACACTAACGCCAACACGTAGGACAAACATTCATGACTAACATTACTGTATAACATAGACACTTTGACAAAACTTCATCGTAAATGTTTTGTCAAAACTTCATCGTATATGCTTTGTCAAAACTTCATCGTATATGCTTTGTCATGATTTCTTCGTATATGCTTTGTCAAAACTTCATCGTAAATGCTTTGTCATGACTTCATCGTAAATGCTTTGTCATAACTTCATCGTAATGAGTGTAAATGATTTCATATGATTGCTTCCCTCGGAAAACCGAGGGAAGAGATTCCATATGAAAATCGCAAGAATTTGGCTCCTGGTTTGAAATATTATTATGTTCATAGACTTTTAGTAAATGCTTTGTCAAACATGAACGTAAACACTATGTCAAACATGAACGTAAACACTATGTCAAACATGAACGTAAACTCTATGTCAAACATGAACGTAAAGACTTCATCGAAACTAAACGTAAACTCTATGTCAAACATGAACGTAAACTCTATGTCAAAACTTCATCGTAAACACTTTGTTAAAACTTCATCGAAACTAAACGTAAACACTTTGTCAAACATGAACGTAAACACTATGTCAAACATGAACGTAAACTCTATGTCAAACATGAACGTAAAGACTTCATCGAAACTAAACGTAAACACTTTGTCAAACATGAACGTAAACTCTATGTCAAACATGAACGTAAATGTTTTGTCAAGACTTCTTCGTATATGTTTTGTCATGACTTCATCGTAAATGTTTTGTCAAAACTTCATCGTAAATGCTTTGTCATGACTTCATCGAAACTAAACGTAAATGCTTTGTCAAACATGAACGTAAACTCTATGTTAAACATGAACGTAAACACTTTGTCAAACATGAACGAAAGACTTTGTCGAACTTCATCGTATATGTTTTGTCATGACTTCATCCAAACTAAACGTAAACTCTATGTCAAACATGAACGTAAAGACTTCATCGAAACTAAACGTAAACTCTATGTCAAACATGAACGTAAACTCTATGTCAAAACTTCATCGTAAACACTTTGTTAAAACTTCATCGAAACTAAACGTAAACACTTTGTCAAACATGAACGTAAACACTATGTCAAACATGAACGTAAACTCTATGTCAAACATGAACGTAAAGACTTCATCGAAACTAAACGTAAACACTTTGTCAAACATGAACGTAAACTCTATGTCAAACATGAACGTAAATGTTTTGTCAAGACTTCTTCGTATATGTTTTGTCATGACTTCATCGTAAATGTTTTGTCAAAACTTCATCGTAAATGCTTTGTCATGACTTCATCGAAACTAAACGTAAACACTTTGTCAAACATGAACGTAAACTCTATGTCAAACATGAACGTAAACACTTTGTCAAACATGAACGAAAGACTTTGTCGAACTTCATCGTATATGTTTTGTCATGACTTCATCCAAACTAAACGTAAACTCTATGTCAAAACTTCATCGTAAACACTTTGTTAAAACTTCATCGTAAAGACTTCATCGAAACTAAACGTAAACACTTTGTCAAACATGAACGTAAATGTTTTGTCAAGACTTCTTCGTATATGTTTTGTCATGACTTCATCGTAAATGTTTTGTCAAAACTTCATCGTAAATGCTTTGTCATGACTTCATCGAAACTAAACGTAAATGCTTTGTCAAACATGAACGTAAACTCTATGTTAAACATGAACGTAAACACTTTGTCAAACATGAACGAAAGACTTTGTCGAACTTCATCGTATATGTTTTGTCATGACTTCATCCAAACTAAACGTAAACTCTATGTTAAAACTTCATCGTAAAGACTTCATCGAAACTAAACGTAAACACTTTGTCAAACATGAACGTAAACTCTATGTCAAACATGAACGTAAACTCTATGTCAAACATGAACGTAAACTCTATGTCAAAACTTCATCGTAATGAGCGTAAATGACTAAAAAATAATGTTTAGGTGAAGAGGTGAGATTTCACCTAATTTTTCACCCTGTTGAATTTTCATGTCAAAACTTCATCGTATATGTTTTGTCATGACTTCATCGTAAATGTTTTGTCATGACTTCATCGTAATGAACGTAAATGTTTTGTCATGACTTCATCGTAAATGTTTTGTCATGACTTCATCGTAATGAACGTAAATGTTTTGTCATGATTTCATCGATGAACGTAAATGCTTTGTCAAAACTTCATCGTATAGCTTTGTCATGATTTAATCGTAATGAACGTAAATGTATTGTCATGACTTCTTCATCGTAATGAACGTAAACACTTTGTCAACATGAACGAAAGACTTTGTCGAACTTCATCGTATATGTTTTGTCATGACTTCATCCAAACTAAACGTAAACTCTATGTCAAAACTTCATCGTAAACACTTTGTTAAAACTTCATCGTAAAGACTTCATCGAAACTAAACGTAAACACTTTGTCAACATGAACGTAAACTCTATGTCAAACATGAACGTAAACTCTATGTTAAACATGAACGTAAACACTTTGTCAAACATGAACGAAAGACTTTGTCGAACTTCATCGTATATGTTTTTGTCATGACTTCATCCAAACTAAACGTAAACTCTATGTCAAAACTTCATCGTAAAACACTTTGTTAAAACTTCATCGTAAAGACTTCATCGAAACTAAACGTAAACACTTTGTCAAACATGAACGTAAACTCTATGTCAAAACATGAACGTAAACTCTATGTCAAACATGAACGTAAAACTCTATGTCAAAACTTCATCGTAATGAGCGTAAATGACTAAAAAATAATGTTTAGGTGAAGAGGTGAGATTTCACCTAATTTTTCACCCTGTTGAATTTTCATGTCAAAACTTCATCGTATATGTTTTGTCATGACTTCATCGTAAATGTTTTGTCATGACTTCATCGTATATGAACGTAAATGTTTTGTCATGACTTCATCGTAAATGTTTTGTCATGACTTCATCGAATGAACGTAAATGTTTGTCATGATTTCATCGTAATGAACGTAAATGTTTTGTCATGATTTCATCGTAATGAACGTAAATGCCTTGTCAAAACTTCATCGTATATGCTTTTCATGATTTAATCGTAATGAACGTAAATGTTTTGTCATGACTTCTTCATCGTAATGAACGTAAACACTTTGTCAAACATGAACGTAAATGCTTTGTCAAAACTTCATCGTATATGTTTTGTCATGACTTCATCGTATATGTTTGTCATGACTTCATCGTAAACACTTTGTCATGACTTCATCGTAAATGTTTTGTCAAAACTTCTTCGTAAATTTTGTCAAAACTTCATCGTAAATGTTTTGTCATGACTTCATCGTAATGAACGTAAATGTTTTCATTAATGATTTCATAAATGTTTTGTCATGACTTCATCGTAAATGTTTGTCATGATTTAATCGTAAATGTTTTGTCAAGACTTCATCGTATATGTTTTGTCAAGACTTCATCGTATATGTTTTGTCAAACATGAACGTATATGTTTTGTCATGATTTCTTCGTAATGAACGTATATGCTTTGTCAAAACTTCTTCGTAAATGCTTTGTCATGACTTCTTCGTATATGTTTTGTCATGATGCAAAAATAATGAGTTCATTTACTCACAATATTTTTGTACAAAATGTAAAGTATGGCGGTTTGAAACCGTCGGGAACCTTCACTTTTTTGACGAAGTGCAAATCTTCACTTCGTGTCAAAACTTCATCGTATATGTTTTGTCAAACATGAACGTAAATGTTTTGTCATGACTTCATCGTAATGAACGTAAATGTTTTGTCATGACTTCATCGTATATGTTTTGTCATGATTTCATCGTATATGCTTTGTCAAACATAAACGTATATGTTTTGTCAAGACTTCATCGTATATGTTTTGTCAAGACTTCATCGTATATGTTTTGTCAAGACTTCATCGTATATGTTTTGTCAAACATGAACGTATATGTTTTGTCATGATTTCTTCGTAATGAACGTATATGCTTTGTCATGATTTCTTCGTAAATGCTTTGTCATGATTTCTTCGTATATGCTTTGTCAAACATAAACGTATATGTTTTGTCATGATTTCTTCGTATATGTTTTGTCATGACTTCATCGTAAATGCTTTGTCAAGACTTCTTCGTAATGAGTGTAAATGACCCAAAAATAATGTTTACGTTAATGTTTTCAGGTTATTCAATAATTAATTATTTTTGAAGAACTGAAGGTGCTACCATGTTACCATGTGCTACCAGGTTAATTAACTTCTCTGAAAAAGTGTGACAACATGACATTTTGACAACACAGCAGGATTAATGAGGAAGGTATTTATGAATTATTTTTGAAGAACTGAAGGTGCTACCATGTTACCATGTGCTACCAGGTTAATTAACTTCTCTGAAAAAGTGTGACAACATGACATTTAGACAACAACACAGGAGGAAGGTATTTATGAATTATTTTTGAAGAACTGAAGGTGCTACCATGTTACCATGTGCTACCAGGTTAATTAACTTCTCTGAAAAAATGAGACAACATGACATTTTGACAACACAGCAGGAAATAAACTTCATCGTAATGAACGTATATGTTTTGTCATGATTTCTTCGTATATGTTTTGTCATGACTTCTTCATCGTAATGAGTGTAAACTCTATGTCAAACATGAACGTAAACTCTATGTCAAACATGAGCGTAAATGTTTTGTCATGATGATTTCATCGTTAATGCTTTGTCAAACATGAACATAAATGCTTTGTCAAACATGAGCGTAAATGTTTTGTCATGACTTCATCGAAACATGAGCGTAAACACTTTGTCAAACATGAACGTAAACTCTATGTCAAACATGAGCATAAACTCTATGTCATGACTTCATCGAAACATGAACGTAAACTCTATGTCAAACATGAGCGTAAACACTTTGTCAAACATGAACGTAAATGTTTTGTCATGACTTCATCGTAATGAGCATAAATGACCCAAAAATAATGTTTAGGTGAAGAGGTGAGATCTCACCTGTTTTCTCACCTCTTTTCTCACCTCATTGAATTTTCATGATTTCTTCGTATATGCTTTGTCATGATTTCTTCGTAAATGTTTTGTCATGACTTCATCGTAATGAGCGTAAATGACCCAAAAATAATGTTTAGGTGAAGAGGTGAGATCTCACCTGTTTTCTCACCTCATTGAATTTTCATGATTTCTTCGTATATGTTTTGTCATGATTTCATCGTATATGTTTTGTCATGACTTCATCGTATATGTTTTGTCATGATTTCATCGAAACTAAACGTATATGCTTTGTCATGACTTCATCGTAAATGTTTTGTCAAACATGAACGTAAATGTTTTGTCATGACTTCATCGTAAATGCTTTGTCAAAACTTCATCGTAATGAGCATAAATGACCCAAAAATAATGTTTAGGTGAAGAGGTGAGATCTCACCTCTTTTCTCACCTCTTTTTTCACCTCATGAATTTTCATGACTTCTTCATCGTAATGAGCGTAAACTCTTTGTCAAACATGAGCGTAAATGCTTTGTCAAACATGAGCGTAAATGTTTTGTCATGACTTCATCGTATATGTTTTGTCATGACTTCATCGTAAATTTTTTGTCATGACTTCTTCATCGTAATGAACGTAAATGACCCAAAAATAATGTTTATGTTAGAATGTTAGATCTAACACCTTTTCTAACAGTAAAGTATTATATCTATTAAATCGTCTATGATGTAAATTGTGTATAGAATGAAAT